GCTCAACACAACCTCCACTTCCCGGGTTCAAGCTATTCTCCTGCCTCAGCACCCCAAGTAGCTGGGATTACAGGCGCCTGCCATCATGCCTGGCTAGCTTTTGGCATTTTTTGTAGAGACGGGGTTTCACCATGTTGGCCAGGCTGGTCTCGAACTCCTGACCTCAGGTGATCCACCTGCCTCAGCCTCCCAATTTTTTTTTTTTTTTTTTTTGGCATTTTTTGTAGAGACAAGGTTTATCCATGTTGCCCAGGCTGGTCTTGAACCCTTGGACTCAAGTGATCTGCCCGCCTCAGCCTCCCAAAGTGTTAGGATTATAGGCATGAGCCACCATGCCTGGACTCAAAACATACTTTCTTTTCCTTTCCTTTTTTTGAGAAGTTTCACTCTTGTTGCCCAGGCTGGAGTGCAATGGCGCAATCTTGGTTCACTGCAACCTCCGCCTCCAAAGTTCAAGTGATTCTCCTGCCTCAGCCTCCCGAGTAGCTGGGATTACAGGCACCCACCACCACGCTTGGCTAATTTTTTTATATTTTTAGTAGAGACGGGGTTTCACCATGTGCTGGTCTCAAACTCTTGACCTTCGGGTGATCCACCCACCTTGGCCTCCCAAAGTGCTGGGATTACAGGCGTGAGCCACTGCGCCTGGCCACAACATACTTTCTAAATAAGTGAATATACGAATTTGTTTAAACGTTCATTTATTATGCCATTCCATGGTATATGAATCTCCTGATTCATATATCCCAGGACCTAGCAATGTTTGCCTAATGCAAAGAAGGTACCCAATAGATATTCATTATTGGGCTTCAGTTTTCTCATCTGAAAAGGGGATGCTTAATCCCTTCTCATTATAAAATTATTTTTCTAAAAAGGAAAGACTACAAGGGACCTTTGAAATGTATGGGAATATTTATGGAAATGAGAGCTCCAACTAGAAGAAAGGCTATCAATCATCACCAACTATGAAACGGAGGTGGAGTAGAGGGCTGAGTGACAACTCTGTCAGAAGGAGACGGTGGGAACCGAAAATAGTCAAAAAGAGAGAAACAGTCATCTATGGTAGCTAGTAGTTTAGATTTAATTATCTTCTTTTTCTCAGGCAATAGTATAAATACTACCATTGCTGACAATTACCAACATTCAGATGTAAAAGATGCTTAATACTGTCACCCCCGTGAGGCCCTAAGCCGTGAGTAATTTGGAGTCATGTGGATTGTTAACCACAATGAAAAGAAAGGAAAAGATGACAAATGAGTAAGAAGACAAATTGCCTTAAAATCTTTGCCAGTCCTCACCATGCTTCTGGAGACTCTCCTGGAGTCCTGGCTTGGAAGCGGTGCCCACGGCGTTTTCGGCAGCATCTTGCAAAGCAGGGGAGCTTACTGACGGAGTGCGGACCTTATCTGGTTTCAGGACAGCAGCTGGACCATCAATACCTAGGGGACAAAATAAAATGAATTTTAAAAAAGGAGCAAAGTATTATTCACTATTTAGTTGGGTGGATTTGGCATATGTGATCAGAATTAAGAACTACCGAATCACTTTATCTCCCCTCCTTTCTTAACATCCATAAGAACATGTGTTAAGAGAGTAGGTCAGAACTGGTGTTCTTTTGTTCTGAGACAGGATCTCACTCTGTCGCCCAGGCTGGAGAGCAGTGGTGTAATCACAGCTCACTGTAGCCTCGACTTCCTAGGCTCAAACGATCCTCCCACTTCAGTCCCCCAAGTAGCTGGGACTACAGGTGTGTGCTACTACGCCTGGCTAACTTTTAAATTTTTTGTAGAGATGGAGTTTTGTTATGTTGCCCAGGCTAGTTTCAAACACCTGGCCTTAAGTGATCCACCTGCCTGGTCTCCCAAAGTGCTGGGATCAGAGGCATAAGCCATCATGCCCAGCCTGGTGTTCATTTTATTAACATGCTCTGTTACTAAAGTAATATGTACTTGTACTTTAGTAACTGAAGTAATATGTACTTCGGAAACTTAAGAATGAAACCGAGAAAACAAAGTAGGTCCTCCATAGTACAGATCCTGTCCAAGCCAATAGCTCAGGTGGCTTAATTTAGAGGAACTTACAATCTTATTCTTCCTCCACCCCTCATCATCTCAGATGGTCCTTTGAACTATCTATTGGAAGAATGGATGCTCTCTACCTATTCCTGGCTTCATGATTCACCTCTGCCATGATTTAACAATCAAAAACTCCTCAAATAGGTCATTCTAAACTATTCATCTGGCATCTAGAAAACAACAGTTCTTGCCGGGCACGGTGGCTCAAGCCTGTAATCCCAGCACTTTGGGAGGCCGAGGCAGGTGGATCACCTGGGTCAGGAGTTCTAGACAAGCCTGGCCAACATGGTAAAACCCCGTCTCTACTAAAAATACAAAAAAATTAGCCGGGCGTGGTGGCAGGCGCCTGTAAACCCAGCTACTCAGGAGGTTGAGGCAGGAGAATCACTTGAACCCAGGAGAAGGAGGTTGGCAGTGAGCCAAGATCTTGCCTTTGCACTCCAGCCTGGGCAACGAAAGCAAAACTCCATCTCAAAAAAAAAAGAAAAAAAGAAAAAAGAAAACAACAGTTCTAAAATGGACACAAACTTTAAGGCATCTTGCACTGATTATGTTGCTTTTATTCTCCTCAAAGACCCCAAATGTGTTTATAAAGATTTGTGAAGGTACCTAGTAATGGTGCTAATAATATTGTCCCTTTGGTCCGTCTGAGAATCCTCCTGCCTTCTAGGTTTGTGAAAATTGTACCCCAGCAGGAAGTGATGCTGCCTAAATACACACCATGTAAGATGACATTGCTGTGGGGAGTATGACAGTTCACCAAGGGAGTCTGCTCATCACTGGCCCTTGGCTTCGCCCGCCGTAGCCTGGCTTCTGGATTGGGCTGCACCATAAACGGCTCAAGGCGCTTTTTCCTCTGCCTCTTCTCAAGTAGTAGCCTCTGAGAAAAAAGCGATATGATAGCCAGCAAGTAGAGTTTTGACATGACCTAGCCACTTCCAACATTTAGTTTGTTTTTCACTGATCCTCACAAAACATCTTGTAAATTATTATTTCCCCGTTTAAGAAATGGGAAAACTGAGAAACAGAGAGGAGTAAGGATTCAATCATTTCATTTAACAAATACTTTTGAACACCTAACACCTATAAAGATCTATTTAAAATCAGATGATGCATTTTTTTTCTTTTTTTTTGAGACAGAGTCTCACTTGGTTGCCCAGGCTGAGTGCAGTGGCACTATCACAGCTCACTGCAGCCTCGACCTCCAAGGTGCGCCCGATCCTTCTGGCTCACCCTCCTGAATAGCAGGGACTACAGGTGTGTGCTACCACGCCCAGCTAATTTTTGTATTTTTGTAGACACAGGATTTCCCCATATTGCCCAGGCTGGTCTCAAACTCCTGAGCTCAAGCAGTCTGGTGCCTTGGCCTCCCAAAGTGTTGGGATTACAGGCATGAGCCACTGCACCTGCCCCACACAATGCATTTCCAACCAAGTCTACTAAAGATGTATGGGAATCATCACAGCATTATCACAATGTGATTACAAGCTCAAAACATACAAACACACATGCACAGGGGAAAGATGGAGGAACACAGCAAGGGTGGTTTCTTCAGGTGGTAGACTATGGCATGATTATTTTCTCTTTTCTAGTCTTTTTTTTTCCCCAAAGTTTTCTCACTTTTGTAAATGGAAGAAAAAAACTTTATTATTCTCTAAAACTCAAATTATTTCCATGTTCTAATTAGTCAAAGAGCAGTAAGTTTGGCATTCTTGTTTATCTTATATAATTAGAAATCAAATTTGGATCAAGGGTGAGAAGAAAAAAATGGCAGTTGGAACATACCAAATACAAAGCAGTCACCTCTGAATAAAAGCAAGATAAAGACGATGGTAGCAAGAAAAGTCAGGAAAAACGGATGACAGACCCTGAGAAGAAAAAACCAATGAAATGGAGAGTACTAGCACATAGTACTAGTACCTTTTGGCAAATAAGGGCTTATATAGCAATTATTATGGATCTGGAATAACTCAGAATAGGAAAAATGTGAAGCCCCATGCTAAAAAATAAAGACATGATTAAAGAGCAAAGATATTATAACCCACTTACTACTGTTTTTCAGGCAGAATAAACCATCTGTTTACTTTGTTCCATTGATGCTGTTTCTAAAAAGTGCCTCCACGAAGAAGAGTCACTCCAAGGGGCGAGACTATCAAACGAGGAAGAGTGTTTTTCCTGAACTGGCCTGATGAGAGCACGCTGATTAATTCAATAGCTCGTGTAGAGAGGGAAAAGACTGGGGAGTTAAGATAACGTGCCAATACGGAATATACCATCAAGAATGAATAGGTGTTAGAGCAAGGACTAACCTATGTTTGGAGATTATTTTCAGATTTCATGAACTACCATGAATAGAAGGGCCTTAACCCAGGAACACTAAATACACAGGAGGCTATGATGACTTCCGCCAAATGGAATTGGCCAGTAAGATTCTTCTAGCAACCGGGAGCGGTGGCTCATGCCTGTAATCCCAGCACTTTGGGAGGCGGAGTCAGGTGGATCACTTGAGGTCAGGAGTTCGAGACCAGCCTGGCCAACATGGTGAAACCCCGTCTCTACTAAAAATACAAAAATTGGCCTGCATCTTGGTGCACGCCTGTAATCCCAGTTACTCAGGAGGCTCAGGCAGGAGAATCACTTAAATCCAGGAGGTGGAGGTTGTGGGGAGCTGAGATCGTGCCACTACACTCCAGCCTGGGCAACAGAGCGAGACTCTGTCTCAAAAAAATTCTTCTAGCAACCAAGAAGTCTTGTATAATGGATACAAAGTATCACGCACAGTGGCTCACACCTGTAATCCCAATACTTTGGGAGGCCGAGGGGGGCGGATCACCTGAGGTGGGGAGTTCAAAGCCAGTCTGACCAATATGGAGAAACCCCGTCTCTACTAAAAACACAAAAATTAGCCGGGCGTGGTGGCGCATGCCTGTTATCCCAGCTACTTGGAGGCTGAGGCTGGAGAATTGCCTGAGCCTGGGAGGCGCAGGTTGCGGTGAGCTGAGACTGTGCCACTGTACTCCAGCCTGTGCAACGATAGCGAAACTCCATCTCAAACAACAACAACAACAAGAAAAACCAGTAACTTGCCTGAAAAGATGGTAAATATTAAGTACTGAAATCATAAGAAACTGCCATATCTCATCTATATGGCCACAGCTATTTTGTCTCACACACACAGTCTGTGAAATGATTGATGAAACAAAAACGCATACTGTGGGCTGGGCGCAGTGGCTCACGCCTGTGATCCCAGCAGTTTGGGAGGTCGAGGTGGGCGCATTACCTGAGGTCAGAAGTGTGAAACCAGCCGGGTCAACATGGTGAAACCCCGTCTCTACTAAAAAATAAAATTAGCCAGGAGTGGTGGCAGGCACCTGTAATTCCAGTTACTTGGGAGGCTGAGGCAGGAGAATCTCTTGAACCCGGGAGGTGGAAGTTGCGTTAAGCTGAGATTGCTCCACTGCACTCCAAGACGAGCAACAGAGCAAGGACTCGCATCCTCAGAAAAAAAAGAAAAAAAGCGGCTGGGCGAAGCAGCTCACACCCGCTACTCCAGCCGACGTCTGGACGAGGCCGAGGCGGGTGGGATCATCTGGGTCAGAGTTTGAGACCAGTCTAGTTAGCCGAGCAATTGTGAAAGAAGCCCATCTCCACTAAAAAATATAAAAACGATTGGCCAGTGTGGTGCAGCGCTGCTCAATCCTAAGGCACTCGGCGAGCTGCAGCGGAGGAATCGCTTGGAACCCGGCGAGGGGCAGGAGGTTGCCAGGGAGGCAGAGCCGTGGTGCGCCGTGGATCCGAGATGCCACCACTGTACGCCCAGCGGCTGCGGGCCAACAGAGTGAGAGCGGATGTCTCGAAAAAAAAAAGAAAAGAACAAAAACAAATGTTGCCTAGGGCGTATGTTGTATCTGTTACTTTTTTTTTTTTTTTTTTTTTTGAAGGACGGTGAGTACGTTGCGTCTGTGTCGCCCCAGGCCTTGGGTGCAGTGGCGGATCTCAGCTCACTGCCCAAGGCGGTTCCGACCTCCCGGGGTTTACGCCATGTCGTCCTGCGCTTCAGCGCGCCTCCCGTGAGTAGCTTGGCGGGGGACTACAGGGCGCGCCCGCCACCTCGCTCCCTGGCTGAGTTTTTTGGTACGTGTTTTTAGTAGAGATGGTTGGTCACCATGTTAGCGATGGGTCGGTCGATCTCCTTAGGGGCCTCGTGGAGTCACCCGTCTCGGCCTCCCAAAGCTGCTGGGGGATTACGGCTGTGTGACGCCACCGGCGCCCGCCTTTATTTTTACTTTTTGAGACAGAGTTTACTGCTTGTGTGCCCGAGGCTTGGAGTGCGAGACGGTGGGAGCCGTCGGCTGACGTGCGGGAGTCTCTGGCCCTCCTCCTGCGGTTTGCGAAGCAGAGTTCTCCTGAGCTGAGCCGGCCTCCGGAGGTAGCTGGGGATTTGAGCGAGGCCGGCCGCCATCCGGGACACGCGCGAGCTAATTTTTTGCTCTCCCTCTTGGAGGTAGATGAGGGGGTTGCGACATGGCGTGAGAGAGCAAGATATTTGTATTATGAGAAAAGAGTTTTGCGTGCTTTGGGTCTAGAAAGAGGGAGGCCAAGAGCGATAGGAATTGTTGGATCGAGGGTGCGCGGGGGGGTGGTGTGGTGTGTGTTGGTGTGTTGTGTGGGGTTGGTGGGTTGTGTGTGTGGTTTTTTCTCCTGTTTGTTTGGTGTGCCGAGAGATGTAAGACGGTAAACGGAGTTCTGTTGTTGTGTGGTGTGTGTGTGGTGTGTGTTTGTGGGAAATACAGTTGGGGTGGTGTTGGGGCTCCCTCTGTGTGGTGTCCGCGGTGGTGGTGTGGTGGTGTCGTCTCGTGTATGGTGCCGGGGTACTCCCCCCCGAGTGGGTGTTGGTTGGTGCCTCCTCGTGTGGCGCTGCGATTCATCGGCTCATCGCAACCTCTGCCTCTCGGGTTCATGCAATTTTCCTGCCTCAGCCTCCCGAGTAGCTGGGATTACAGGTGCACCCCACCATGCCCAGCTAATTTTTATACTTTTAGTAGAGATGGGGTTTCACCATGTTGGCCAGGCTGGTCTTGAACTCCTGACCTCATTCCCTCTGATTCCTTGCTCACCAATAAGCCTTCTAATTTGAAGTTTAACTTCTTAGGTATCGTTTTCCCAGGAAAAGACTATCATGAACAGTAGAGATGAATACACACTGAAAAAGTAGACCTCCCTTTGTAAATTAATAACTTGGGGTTCTGGTTTTAAAACTTACTGGTATGGGTTTAACTAGTGTGAATTTGTGCCAAAGGACCTGGTTATATCCAGGTTCACTGACAAACTAAGCTCTCAGACTTGTAAAGGGGAGACTAGACCCCTGACCACAGGTTCCACCAAGGTATCTGGGGAAGCCTCTCTCTATCTACTTAAAGACTGATCGAACTCATTTAGACCAATGACTTAAGAAAAAAACAACTGTAGACTCAAACTGTCATCAGGGCCACAGCTACTATCCCTCAGTATTGAATAGATCTTACTACTGTCCAAGTTTATAAATAAGAAAAATACCATTAAACAGATAGGTGCAAGCTGCCATCTTGGTGAAAACTGTCATGCAGTTTGGATGGGGGAGGAGAGAAGTGCTACTAGGGTTTGAATGTAACAATGTCAATTCCTATTTCATTTATATTTTACTTCCCTGAAAACTTAAGAGTGCTTTAAATGAGGCTACATCAACGAGTAAGGACTCATTACCCAGACAGGGTAAGTCAGGGAGCCAGGAAGAAAGCCAAAGCTGATGGTTAGATGCCCTAAGTGGAATTAAAACACACTGCCTTCAGGATTTTAAGTGTCGTATAAACTAAAATTTAATCACCTTTAAATTTCCTAATT